GAGTTTCTCTTAGAGATATACACCCTGCTCAGTACATCCCCTGAAACCCAGGGCAATCAATGCTGGCAAGGTCCCAAGTGTTCCAAAAGGTTGCTACACGAGAATTTGATGTATTCAAGGGACGCTGGACCCGGTTTCCAGCCGGTGATGCTCCCCACCAATAGATGGAGCGGCCCACCAGACAACGCCTCAAGCCCGGTGGTTCTCTTACCACCACTGAGATAGAGGCCTTGCACAAGGGCCTTAAAATAATAAAAAAATTAAAAAAAAAGAGGTGGGAGCTGGACTTGTCTTAATGCATCTGGCTGCAAGTACTGCCAGTCCTGGATATTTATGTCTGCAATTACGTCCAGAGATAGGTCGGAAAAAAAAAAAAAAAAAAAAAAAAAAGAAAGAAAGAAAGAAAGAAAGAAAGAAAGAAAAAGATCAGTCGAAAAAGTCTTGGTGTAAGCACACGCTACCTCTGAGAACTCAGATGCTCCATTTGGAGCTTCTCAAATATGGAGGATAGCCTCTACCTCGCCCTGTAACCTGCAATTGGCAGGAGTGTGAGGCCTTGTAGAGAGATCTGGGGATTTGCCGAGGGAGGAAGGCAATCCAGTGGTGAACCGGGGGGGCTGCCTTGACAACCTATGGGGCCAGGGATAGTCTAGGTGGCGTGAACAGGTCAGCTATGGTAGATATGGGCTAGGAGGGTATTGTCTCTGAGATGTAATGTCCTGGTGCAGGGAGGGCTGGGAAGGTTCGAGGATTAGGACGCCAGAAGTGCGGTTATAACATAGTCTTCTATTCATCATCATCATCATCATCATCATCATCACATCACCAGTTTCATCATCTGATTATTGTTATTTCAAGCTTTTTGGTGTTCTGAAATTTTGGCAGCATCTAGCATTCTTCCACATTCGGGATATAGGACTTCAGAGATGGTTGAACCTGGACTGATTTCAACTGAGTTGCTCTGTTCTGTGTCCTTGGTTTGCCGATGCCAGAACTATGCTGGTCGGAGCTGGGGCGTTGCCCTGTAACCTGTAAGTGGCAGGAGTATGAGGCCTTGTAGAGAGTTCTGGGGTTTGCTGAGGGTGGAAGGCATTCCAGTGGTGAACCGGGGGGGGCTGCGAGGAGGCGAGAAGAGATCAGCTATGGTTGACGTTGGTTAGGTTGGTCTTGTCTCTGAGGAACAGTGTCCTGATATAGGGAGGGCTAGGAGTTGTTCTAGGATTAGAAGGCCAGAATAGCTGATATAGCATAATCTTCTT